TAAATGAAATATATTATTATCTTTATATTAGAATAAATTTAATTAATTATTAAAAAATTAATTTTCCCAAGTGTATATATGAATAAAATAAGATTAGATAATTTTATTATATTTAAAATAACTTTTCAATATTTTTTATATTAATAAAAACTATTTACTTTATTATAAAATATATATTGACCTAATATATATATATATAAATTATTCTTCAGTATAAAAGTTATTTATTTAAAAAGCCGAAATATATAATAAAAATAATTTTTAACCAGTTTTTTTCCTAGATTTAATTATTTTAATACTTTGTAATATTTAATATTAATTTTAAAGGGAAAATATTTTGTAAATATGTAAAAAAAAAATATTTATAAAGGAATGAGTAAATACTAAACAAACAAACAAAAACAAAAATACAATATTTCAAAGAACTGTTAAAAAGAAGAATTATGAAAAATACAGAAAATAATATAAATAAGAACATTTTTCTATTTAAATAAACTAATTTTATTTAAATTTTATAAATTTTTAACAATTTCTATTAATTTAATGAATATTTTTTTATACTTGATTTAGGTTTTAGTTATTATTTATTTTTTATCTTAACTGTAATTTTTATAAAAAAAAATTAATGAACAATAAAAAATATGTCAGAAATAATTGAAAAAAGTAATTTTTTTTTTAAAAAATACAATAAAAATAAAAAAATTAATGAACAAGTTATATTAGTTTTTTTTCTTATTTAAAGAATGGAATAATTCTTTAATATTAAAAAAATTTTAAGGGATTAATTTTAGTCTTAGTATTTTAGTATTTTGTTAATTATTTTGTGGTTATGTTTTAATTTAATTATTTTTAATTTTTTTAATAATTAATATGAAAATAATATTTATATTATTAAATTTTATAAAATCAAATAATAAATAAAAAAAATATTATATTAAATTTTATTGTCTCTTATTATATTAATATACTTTATTGTTTATTTTATATTAAATCCTTTTTATTTATTTAAATATATAAACAACATAAAATATAACAAAAAAAAAAAAATTATTTTGAAAAATATCTAGCATATAAATAATAATATTAAATTTGTTAATTAAATATATAAAAATTGATATATATTTATTAATGACATTATAAAAAAAATATAAATTTACAATAAATATAAAAATTAGCATTATATTTATTATTTATTCTTTAGATAAAAAATAGGATTATCTAAAATTTTACAAGATATTTATTTATAATAGAGTTATTCATATTTTTTGACTTTTAAAAGCTAATATAATGAAAAATACTAATTAAAAAATATTTATATATTTTATAATACTTTATTGAACTTTAATAGGTGAACTAATTTAAAAAGGAGAAGTGATTCCAGAAACAAAATTATTTTTAATTCTTTACTAATTATTAAAATTTTAATTACCGAAAGTTTAATAAACTTATGCTGCATTTTCCTATTCTTACAAAGGATTATTTATAACTAAATTATATATTAAATTTTTTTAGCCTTAGGAGGGAAATTAAATAAAATTATTGCATTCTTATTATCTTAAATATTCTAAATGTTAAGAATAAAACCATAAAAAAGCAATTAAAGCGAACTTATAAAAAAAATAAAAAAATATAATTAAAAATGTTACTTTAACAATTATTGAAATATAAGACAACAAAACAACTGCTTCTTTAAAATAAACATCAGCCATGTTATCTGCTAAAGAACCTTTCTAAGGACTCCACCAATGCTTTATTTTTAAATATTATATTTTTATATTTATAAAAAATATTACTTCAGCAAATATTATTAACCAAAACATATCTAAAAGAAATGAAATTAAAGTAGAAATACACAAGAAATAAGCTTACTTAACCTTCATTTAATTGAGTTAATATAATGCCATATATATCAAACATATCATTATCTATATTTACATTTAAAGTTTCAAAGGTTAATAAAAAATTAAATTTATATATTTATATAATTATTATTACATCTATAAAAGTAGTTTTATTAAATGAAATGAATAAACTTATTATAAACAAAATCAAAGTCAATAATCTTGTATATAAGGTAATATTGTGCTATTAATTTTAACTTGAAGGAATAGCTTTAACTTTGCTGTTTTCATATTCGATTCTTTAATTAATTTTACTATCATTTATTTGTTCTATTTCTTGCATGTCGTTTTTCGTTTTATAATATCTAAGTAATGATTTAAAAGGTTAATATAAAGATTCTAATGTTATTTGATAATCTTTTATATCTTCATTAATAATTTTTATCTAATTATTTTATTAATTTATCATTTATTCTAAAAATTTATTCTTTTTGTTAACAAAAATAATAAATATTATAAATTAATTTAATTAAAATGCATAAAATAAATTAAAGTATACTTTAGAATGTATATATTATAGACTGAGAGTTATTAAACCTGTTGTTATTTACCCTTATTAATTATATAATTAATAAGTTTCCACAATTCTTTATTAATCACTTAAACTTTTTAAAGGAATAAATATTTATCCTAAAAAGCTATCCTAGGTTTATTAATCAAAATTACTTACTATTACTTATAGGGTTTCTAATCCAGTTTCAATATTGCTATAATATTTTTATAAATAAAATATATATAATAAACCATTTTTTTGAAAAAAATATATTTATTATTTTTACAAAATAAATTAATTATTCCAGTTATATTAATTTTAATTTTTGTAAGCAACACCTGTTTATTATTTTTATTTATCTATTATTAATGTTACACAAGGTTCACATTTATGCTTAAATAACTATAAATTAGTTGCAGAAATTACAACTATTTATATATAGGAGCCTTTCATTAATCCGTAAGCATTTTTAATTTCTTATTCGCAAATTTCTTCAAGTTTGTTTTAATGCTCCCTTTTTATACGATTTAGTTCTTCTAAATTTTTATTTTCGTTTTATATTTTTGAAACTAATATATCCTCTGCTTCTAAATACACTTTTATGAAATTATCAACTTTAAATTTTCCTTAATAATCTTTGCTTGTTTAATCATATAATTGCTCTATTAAATCTCTGTCAAATTTTTAATTTAACTGTATTTTTTAAAAAATACTTATATTATATATCTTATTGCATACCTTTTAATCTAGTATATTACATAGTTCTTCTTTAGTAATATATTCGTCAAAATTCAAATCATATTCTATAAATTCTTTTCTTAAAATATTTAGTTTTTCTTCAAATTTTATATTCTTTTTTATTTTTATAATTTTTATTTTTTTGTTAAGAAAATTTTAAATTAACTATACATAAAAAATTATACATCTTTATGCCAATTATTCAACATATTATTTTATAATAACTATTATATATATATTTATTTATAGTTACAAAAAAATAAAAATAAAAAATAAATAGTTTTTATTTAAGTAAACATATATATATTTTTTTTAATTAAATTAATTATTAAAACTTAATGCCTAGTTATTTATTTCTAAATATATATTAAATATTTTAATTAAAATCATTATTTTAATTATAAAAAATACATTTTATTTGTTAAGGAGCAGCTACTTTTAAAAAATATTAATAATATATAATAAATTAAATATATAAATCAATAAAATAAATTTAAATAATTAAATAAAATTAAATAATAAATATACTATACTATATAGCATTTATAATATATCATTCACTTTTTTATTTTATTTATATTAATTTAGATACTACTTAATTAATTCCATATATTAAAGAATAAAGTATTTAGATTAAAATTACTCCAATAAATGAGGCTAAATTTAAATAGTGATCAGCAAAGTATATATAATAATTTCCAACATACTTAACCATAGGATCCGTCTTAGAATAACACAAAGTGAAATTAAGGTTAGCCCAACTAATAAGACTTTAAGGTAAAAGAATAAATCTTTAATATAAACTGAAAAAAGCAAATCCAAAATATTATTGTGCAAATATAGCTTTTATATCAAATTCAAAAAATCCATATCTTCCAAAAAGAATTAAAGACAAAGGACCTTAAAAAGCAGCTTAGAAATGTTCTAAAAAAAATAGTTCTTTTTCATAAATAAAATCTAAGCCTTCTAAATCAGGAAGAACAATTGCTATTAAAGCCCCAAATATAAATCTTTAATAAATAATGTAAATAATCGCCTTTAATTTAGATTTTTTAGTTAATAATAAATAGGCAGATAATAGAACTACATAATGACATGGGTTATGCATAAAAATTAAACGACGTGATTATATTTTATATATTGTCTATATAAAATAAGTTATTAAAAATGTTATGCCAGATAACTTTTCTAATAATGATGGATTTAAGTCTTTTACTTGCTTTAGGTCTAACTCTTTACAATTCATAATTAATTTTCTCAATTTCCATACTATTATTGTATTTATTAATACACTTAAAATTGATAAAGTTACTCTAAAAAGTACAGTAGATGAATAATAGCATAATGGACCACCGTCTGAAAATTATTGATAGCTAACATCGTATATTCCTCCAGAATATATATCAATAAAATTTCTTATTATATTCATCTTAAATTTTTTTATTAGATTTTTTTTAATTTAAATTTTAATATTATTTTATTATACCAATAATTGTAATTTTACTTTGTATATTAAAAAAAAGAAAATTATTATAAATTAAAAAATTAAATAATAAATATTTAATAAAAAATAATGAATTATTTACTTTTACTCTTCGAGCATGGATATATTTTTTAAAAATAGAATTTTTTTTTATAAATTTTTTGAAAAACATAAAAACAAATAAGAAAATAGTATTTACATAAAAGATATTGTAATATATAGTAATCTATTTTATATTTAAATAAAAATTATATAAAAAATAAAATAATATTTTTTCATATCGTTTTTGTTATACTTTATATATATAATTTCTTTTAAAAACCTCAATAACAAAAAAAAAAATGCCTTTTTAGTTCTTTTGATTAAGTTTTTTTTAAAAAAGTAAAAAAGCAGTATTAACAAATAATAAATTAATTTCTATAAAATATAATTTAGTAATAAAAAGTAAAATGATTTATACTTTATATTTTTGTTATAAATTATCTATTTTAAATAAAAATTGTATTTTTTATTAGATATTAATATTAAAATTAATTTAAAAAGATAAACGAAAACATTAAAAAAAGGAAAAATAATTTAAAAGCACCCATAATAGTATAAAAATATAAAAAGCATTTTATTTTTTTCATAAAAATAAATTATTAAAACTTTGAAATAAATAAATAATCATATCAATAAAATAAAAACAAAAAATCAATTTAAAAATAAAAATTGAAATAATAAAAATGTAATAAACATCGTATATATCAAGTGATACCAAAAAGATAATTGAAGAAATAGAAATGATGAGACAAATAAAAAAAAATAAAACAGTATAAAATTTAGCAGATATTAATTAAAACTCTTAATAAGTACATTAGAAAAGCAACATAACTGAATAATAAAAAACAACATTTGAAATAGATTAATTGCTATAAAAGAATAATGAATAAAAACAAACAAAAGAATTATAATAACTATAACAATTATAATTAAATTAATATTTTAGTAATAATGAAGCATAAAACTAACATTAATCTGGCTTTAAGTCTCTAAATAATTCAATAAATAATGGAAAAATATAAAAAAATCAGAATGCAAGTAATAATAATGAACTGAATATCCAAAAAAATTAAAAAGATACTGGAGTATTATAAAATAATTCTTTTAGAGCTGTATCAGCTTAAGCATAGGATATATTATAATAAACAAAGCTATATAGTATATAAAAATAATAAAATACACTAGAAGGAACAGAAAACTAAAAATTTAATTAATATTTATTACAACCAATTTAAAAAACTATAGAAAAGATAAAAAGTATTAATGCTATTTCAAGTTTAAACTAAAGTCCTTCAAAACATTATGTTTCTGTTTAAGGCAAAGAAACCTACAATAGTGATCATTTTAACCAAAAAAGTAATTATAGATACTAATCTCCATTCCAAAATGAAAAAGTGGAATAAATTTTAAATTAATTTTAGAAATCAAAAACTTTTCAAAATAATGAAAGTAAAAATTATATATTATTTAAATAATCATTACAATAATTTCCAACTAATGGAAATAACTCTACAAAAACTAATAATATAAATGAAAAAAATGCATATAATCATATAGATAAAAATTTATATAGCACAGATAAAAATGCATATAAATCTGAAAAAAATATATTTAATAGTGATAAATAGTATGATATAAATAATAATAATAATATTACAATAGATAGTAATAATTAATAACTAAATATTATAAATAATAGCAGCTAATTTTATTTATTGACACAAAATCAATCAAATTTAAAAAATAATACTATATTTTCTAATAGCTAATTAATTTTTACAAACAATAAATAAAATCCTGTCTAAAAATTAGAATAATAAGAGGATAGTATTTGCTCTTCCGAAAGTATTGTAGAAGAAAGAGCTTATTAATTAAATAGATAAGCTTCAATTGTAGAAATTAAAATATCTACATATGGATTAAAAAATATTTAAATAATCAAAAGTATTGGGTAAGGTAAACATTCTACAGTATTTATTGCTTAAGATAAATTATCAGGATTCATTTTTGCAATCAAAAGACTCAACAAAAGTGAAATTATTGAATAAGAAATGGAAGAATAATTAAGCCATGAAATTAAAACTTAAATGTCGTGCAATCATCCTAATATAGTAAGATTGTATGGATATTTTGATGATCCATCTTATTTTTACTTACTTATGGAGTATTTATAGGGATAATAACTAAGTTCATTGCTTAGTGATTAAAATAATGGAGTTTTTGATGAAGGCGAGGCTGGATTTTATTTATATTAAGTAGCTTCTGCATTAAATTATTTACATAAAAAAAATATTATCCATAGAGATATTAAAGCAGATAATATAATTGTTTCAAATGTAAATTAAAAAATATATATTTAATAATGAATATTTAATTTAAAATTATATTAGGGAATCGCGAAACTAGCTGATTTTGGATATTCAAGACTTTGTAGCTAATAAAATACAAGAAATACATTTTGTGGAACTTTAGATTATTTAAGTCCAGAAATAGTTAATGGAGAAAATTATAATTATTCAGTTGATGTTTGGGCTTTTGGAGTTCTAGCTTATTAATTGCTGCAAGGAATTGCTCCATTTTATGAAGATAGCCAAGATGAAACTCTTAATAAAATTTAAAGGGGAAAATTTGTGTTTTAAAAACAAATAAGCATAAGTGCTTAAAAATTTATTAAAAATTTGTTAAATACAAACTGTTAAAATAGACTTACGGTTTCAGAAATTATGTAATAATAATGGATTATTAATTAGGTTAGTTAATTTGAAAAAAAAATTTAAAATGATGAAATTAATTAATAAATATTGGTTAATTTTTAAAAAACTTTAGGAAGATGATATCAAAATTATTTAGATACATACAATGTTTTAAAATTAAAAAATATATAATAATTTATATAAAAAAGTTTTGTTTATTATATTACTTGTTTATAAATTTAATTTTTTTTATTTTTTCTGTAATTTTTTTTAAAAAACTCAATAAACTAAAAAGATAGATATTTTAATTTTTATTATTTTTTTTTGATTGAGTTTTTAAAAAAAAATTATAAAAAAATAAGAAACATGAGAACAAGTAATATATATTATTAATATATATTATATAATAGTACATATATATATTAATAAATATATCAATTTATTTTATTTTTCGATATTATATTTCAACATATTAAAAGAAACTAATCTCAATTGATATATCTATAAATTTTTATTTTAAAAAATTTCATATATTTCTAAATGTTTATTTTATAAATATGCTTAGATATTTTCTTTTGTAAAAATTTCATAAAATTATAACAAAAAAATATTAACAAAAAATTAAAATTAAAATAAAAGTAAATCCAAAATATATAATTATTAACTAAAATTCTCATTATTTTTAATTTTATAATAAATCAAAATTTTCATAAGCCCAATCAGCAATTTTCTAACACTCAGCCCACCTTATATTAAGAGATTTACTACACAAAATAACAATAATATAATGTTAATTATTATTTTTAATATAACTAGCCAGGCATGGTCCTGCGCTTTCAGTAATTCCAGTTTTTATACCACCCCACCCCGTAAACTCTAACAATTTATTAGTATTAATCCACTCGATTTAAGCAAATTCATATTTTTAGTTTTATTTATTAAATATTTAAAGTGTTGCTTTATATTATTTTGTATTCACAATTTTTTAAAATTAACTTATTTACAAAGCATTAAACGATAATAGACCAATATCATAAGCTGTAGATGTGTTAAATATATTTTTAAGTCCATGTGGATTAGTAAAATTAGTATTTTTTAAATCCAAATTTATTGCATTTTTATTCATTTCAATAACAAAAACTTAAACTGGGTCAAAAAAATTATTAATTTTTTTCTTAAACTATGCGATTTTGTCTAATAATAATGAATAGTCATATAAAACAATATCATTCAGTATTTCTTCATCTTTAACTTATTTTAAATACATGAAGAGTCCGACTATTTCTGCTAAACAAACTGCAGAATCGTTTCCACTTGGAAGCATTAACCCATATAATAAATCATATATACTAATTATTGTATTTTCTTTTAATTTAGCAGAAGTACCTTTTATATTATGCATGTTTTTTATTATTTTTTATTATTATAAAATATACCTATTATTTATGATGCTTTAAAAGAAACTTTAATAAATATTCTTTGAATGTCTTTTTTGAGTACATTTTAGAAAAAAATTAAAGTAGTATAACAAGTCATAATTTTAGTCAAAGAAGCGATTTCTCTTTTTTTATTCTATTATTTTCCATGTAAAATTTTTCCAGAATTTCCATCTAAAATAACCCAACTTTTTGCTGTTATTGGTGGAGTCTTTAATAAGTTTTTTGTATTTAAAGATGCTTTTATAATATTATTATCTGCTTAAATTAATTGTTTGTTATCTTAAAATATATATTTGTTTAGTTAAAATGATTTATTATTAATGTTTTTATTATTTAAATTATTATTGCTATTATGTCTTTTTAAATAATTTTTTTTTTGTTATTATGATAGGTTCTTTTTTATGAATGAATAATTCGCTTAATTAGCATTTTCCTTCTAACAAATATTTTTTTAACTATTTAAAGATGAATTACATTATGGCTTTATATTATTTTTAGATGTATTTAAAGATCCTTAAGGGGATTTACATAAATTACTTATTGAAGGAAGATTTATTTACTTAATCTAGATTATATTCTTATATAAGAAAAATTATTATTAAGGAATTAAAGGTGGCTTACTTGTTAATGGGCGTATTTTATTATATTTTTCATCCAAATTATTGTATTTTAAATTTATTTAAAAACTCATCTTTATTTTTTTTTATTTTTGTCAAAGTTTTAATTATTTTTTTCGAATATTTAAACTGAATCAATATTTTGAAAAAAAAAAAAACAATAATTGAATTTAAATTATAAAGGATTAAAATTAGAAATTTTGTTTATGTCAATTTAATATTAATCTTTTTATTAATTAAAGTTGAATATTTTAATATATATTTTTTTCTAAAAAAAATTAAATTTACATAATAACAATGAAAATTAATTTAAAAAAAATAAAAACATAGAATATTTTATTTATTTACTTTAAATTTTAATATGTAAATAAATACAATAAAATCTAAAAAATAATATCATTATTTTTACTTAATCTTAATTTCTATTTAATTTGTATCATAACTTTTCTTCAGATTCTGTTTCACATAAGATTTATTCAAAATCTTTGTTATTCGAATATATTTATTTTTTCTTTTTTTAAAAGGCAATAATAATATTATAATTTTTTTTTAAAAAAAAAATTACTATTTAGTTTATATTTTATTCAGTTAAAATTTAGGTATTATTTATATTTTCATAATAGTTCTTAAAATTTTTAAACTGATTTTTTTATTCTTCTCTATTTTATAAAAATTCATCTTTTTTACTATATATTAATTCCACTAAATTTTATTATTATTAATCTTCTTCATCATAATCATCTATTGGAAAAATAAAATTAATTTATTAATATTTTTTTTTTAATAACCATTTAATAGTCCTAAAATTAATTAATCAACATTCATTATATATTAACTTTAATTGACTATTAAATTTTCTAATTTATTATTTTAAGTTTATATTTATTTGCTAAATAACTATTCTTATTTTATCATCATAAACAAAGGCTCTACATAAGAATATTATTTCTAATATTGTTTATCTAATTCATTTAACTTATTTTTCAAATTTTGAATATCATTAACTGTTTTTTATTTATAACTATTTTATTGTAAAAATTTCTATTCTTCTATTAATTATTAACTTTTTTTTAAAAAAAATGATGATAATTTAAAAAATATATTTTTTTTTAACTTTAATTTTTCTTCTTCTTTTACAAGCTTTTAATAATATTCAATTTAATTTAAATCAGTTTATTATTCTTCTTTATTTTTAGAATGTTTTGCTTTTTCATAAACATTTTATTAAATTTAATAATCTTCAGCATTATATTCTTCACAAATAATTACAACGTCAAGTGGTTAAAGGATATTTTTGTTTACTCCACCTATAAATTTAAAAAAATAATTTTTAAACAAATATTATATACCTAATAAAACTAAAAAATTATCATTAATTGCAGTCGTAGAATGTCCATGTCTTTAAAATTCTTTATCTATACTAATGCAAGGTTAACTCCAATAAAAATTTTCTTTATAAGTTATTGATAATTATGCTTAATATTATAAGCAAATTGAAAAAAATTTAAATATAATTATAAAATACATAAGAATAAAAAAAAATTATAAAAATATATATTGATTAATATTTTTTACAAATATTTAGTTAATGAACTTCGTTTGAAGAATTTAATGTGTCATTTTCTTGACCTCCTATAATCTATAATTTTATTATATTAAGTAAAAAATATTATAAAAATGTAACTTTTATTAACTAATTTATGTTTTTACGATTAATCTATTTTCGTCTATTAAGTTTGCTGTAAAAAATGATCTTGGAGTTGGACTTTAACCTAGTACTTTAATTTTTTTCCAATAAAGTAAATCTAAAAAAAAGTTTTTTAAAATAAATATTTATTTTTTTTGTTTTTATAAAAAAAAAAATTAATTATACTTAAATCTAATTAATAAATGCTAAAATCTTCTTACCAATTATCTTTTGTTCTCCCTCCAAATATATAGAAAAATTAATCACAAACAAATGATTAGTGACCTCTTCTTGGATAAGGTATATCACCTTTAGTTTATAAGCACTTACAATTTGCCTAATTTATATTTTAATAAATTTTTTTTTATTTGACATTATATTTTATATTTATTTTAATAAAATAAATTATAAAATATATTTATTATACTCCTGTAATATTTGGTAAACTTGATGACATTGTAATACTTTAATAATTAAATAACCAAACATCATTAAAAAGCTTATTTTCAGGCAAAGATAATCCTCCAAATATGATTACGTCTTTTTATCCATTTTCTTATTTTATTAAATTATTATAGCTATAATAAATAACTTTATATATAAAATTTACAAATTTCACATAAAGAGTGTTAATGTCTTTATTAAGGAACATTCATTATAAATAACTTTTTCCAAGACCAATTACTAATATTTAAAACATAAAAATCATCAAGTGATTTATTTTTATCTCCCAATCCACCATAAACGACAAAAATATTCATATCCTCTTAAATAAATAAAAAATTTATAATTGAAAAAAAATATTTTTAAAAAACCATCATAAAATGCTGTATGGTAAGATCTTTAAGTAGGAATAGATCCAAGAGAACCATAAGTTTATTATATACTCCACTTTAATGTTTCTAATTTTATTTTGTAAAAATATATTAAAAAATAATTATTAAAACTTAAATCAAGCAAATGCAAGTCATTTAACTTTTATCCAGATTAACCCCCTAATAATAATATTTTATTTATTGAAATAATAAATGTGGCTGTATGTCCTTCTGTTTATAGTGGGGTTTACGTACCTTTTTATTTTTAGATATATTTATTATAATAATTTACCTTATGTGCAAGGAATTGTCTATATTTTTATTGACATAATATTAATTGTGTGATAAATATTTTTAATTGTTTAATTTTTAAATTATATTTATTTTTTACAAAATAATATTTTTTTAAAAAAAAAAATATCATAAATATTAAAATTTAATAAGGCATATGATATATTTTTTAGATTTTAAGAAAAGAAAAGGAGTAAATTAACCAAAGAAGCAATAATAAAAATAAATTAAGATTTTAATTATATTTAGAGAAAAATATAATCTTATATTTAGAGAAAAATATAATCTTATATTTTTAAAATAATTTATTATAAATAATTAATATTTTAATAATATTAATTACATGCTAATTTTTACTTTATATTTTAAATATATTTTAATTGTAAAAGCAACTAATAATTTTGTTTTCTATTTATAACGAAAAGTTTTTTTTATTAATAAAATAAATAAAAAGTAGTTTAGACATTAAAAATAAAATACTAAAAAAAAGAGATATTTAGTATTAAACACTTAAACAAATAATACAATTTATATATAGATCTTAATAAAAAATATTCAAAGTTAAATTATGAATTTACAGAAAAAAATAAATATTTCTCCTCAATTTAATAACCCAATTTTAGAATATAATTTTTAAACTTTGTCAAATAAAAAAATTAGATAAAATCTAAAAATAAATAGTAGCTCTGTTAATTCTAAACAGGCTAAAAATATTCTTTTACAAAAAAGACCTTCTTCATAAAAATGCTTAATTTATTAAAACAGTTAGAATTAATTAATTTTAATGCCACAATCTAATAAATACTAAAATAACATAAAATATTTTTAAAGCAAACTTAGCGCCTGCTAAAACTTACCGACCCCAAATAAAAATAAAATGTAAAATATTAATATTCCTTATTATGTATTATTTTTTTTAATAGAAATATAAGATATAGAATTAAATTTATTGAAAATAATCACATAAAATTAAAAACAAAAAATATAGAAACAAAAGAATCAGTAGATTCTCCAAAAAAAAACAAAAAACATAGAAAAATTTCATTAAAATTAGAAAACGTAAATTCATAATACAATACGATATAAATATTTCTCGAAAAAAAAAAAAAAAAAAGAATTTTGAAGACATATAATAAAATAATAAATAAATAACAGATATAATAATTAAAAAATAACTTAAAAAGTAAAAATAACAATTTTTTATTCTATTTTCTAAATATAAAAAAAAAGTAATAAATTTAGAAGTTAAAGCAATTAAATCCATACTTAAACTATAGATAACTCATAATTTTAACAAAGTGGTAGATTTTATTTTAGAAACTAAAGCAATATTCGTAAAAAAAATCAAATAAACATAAATTAATATAAACACCTTCTACGTATAAAAACTGAAAATGATTTTAAAATGGATTATAATATTTAAAACTCTAAAAATATAAATAACGTATAACAAAAAAGTAAAATAGCATTATAAAGCTCATTTAGTGTATATAAAAAGTTATACAAAAACTAAAAAATATCAGTTACAAAAACTGAAGATGATGATTCTCCATATAACCCTAAATACAAAGTAAATAATAAAAAACATAAACAAACATATGAATAAAGTAAAATTGAAGATAAAAATGTAGAAAAAATATATTTTTTAAATAGTAAAAATGTTCATATTAATTCAGTTAAAAGTGCTAATAATAATAAAAATGATATTTCCTAAAAACAATAAATTTTTAGAGAATCAAATAGTGTAAGTAATAATAAAGCAAATAAAGGAAGTTTTAATTTAATAAAATGGGGAAAATAAAGTTTTTTGAATTAAATTAGAGCGATTAATTCTTAATAAAAAGAAAATAGTCGTAAAAGTTCTTCTGAATTAGAAAAAATAAAATATAAATAAAGTGAATAAATTGATGAAAATAATTAGGTTTAAATGATTTAAAAAGCAGATATAAAAAATAGTATTTATTTAATTAAATTACAATAAGAAAAAGAATTATTTCAAAAAAAAATTTAGCAAGTGAAATTAAAATTTCTAAAGAAAAAATAATAATTATAAAATTATTTTTTAAAATAAAAAAACACTATTTAAAATGAAAAAACACAAATAATTGAACCAAATTAAATAATATAAATATAAAGCAAAAATAAGAAAATAAACTAAATCGAAAAAAATAGTTTAGACCTTTCTTTTACAAACAACAATATTGAAAATAAAGATCATTCAAAAATTTTCAAATAAGAACAGATAAGTTAAATTATACATGGAAGTTAATGTTCTTTTTTA